AGAAGAGAAGAGAAGAGAAGAGAAGAGAAGAGAAGAGAAGAGAAGAGAAGAGAAGAGAAGAAGATAAGGGAAGAGAAGAGAAAAAACTCCAGTTGCCTTTGGAAAGGAAAAAAAACAGCACCTTTGAAGTCGCATTGTATTTCTGGCACTTAAAATACTTCTCTCCGCTTCTCCCCATCCCGTTTGATGGGACTGGAGCGTGCTGTATATAGAGGGACAAGTACCTTCGCCAGCCGCCTCCCCCCAAAACCTCCGAAATCTTAAGAAATTCGCGCTTTCTGCCGCCAAAGTTGAAGATCTCCGCTTTGCTCCAATCGGGGGTTTCGGAAGCGCAGAGATCTGGAAGATGAAAATGAGCGTTTAAGACACTAATTCGCCTGTTTTTAGAGGTTGTCAAATAACGCTGTGCTTGTAGGTGCAGGAAATCGCAACCTTCAATACGTGGTAGATTTTTTTTTCTCGGGTTACGAAAGTCGGGAGGCTTGGGGGGAAAGGTTGGAGGACGAAACTCGGATCCCAGTTTGGCCATTAACTTCCCTTGGGTGGTCTCGAATCGCCTGAACTACCTGGGGAGGTAATTAGAAGTTAAAACAGAAGGGAAACCCCCCTCGGAGAGCCACCGAAACCTTCTCCGGGGGGAGAGGAGAGGGACAAATTGTCCGAAATAATAGCCTCGGCTGTTAATTCCGTGGCAATTTAGCTATCGAACGGCATGGCGAGCTGTTTATCGGTGGAAGAGTTTAAAAGGAGGGATGAAAGAGTTGGAGAATGAACTCCGAAGACGACAAAGGCGCTTGGGAATTGGCTTCTCTTGAAAGCTGTTTGTGGATTCCCGGAGTGAAACGATTCTGCATACCGCACTGTGTTATGTGTAAGAAGAAGGTACATATTTGCAGGGAGAAAGGGATGAGTGGCCCCACCCTGAGCCCTCAAAGAGAGGGAGGGGATGAAAATTCAGATTAGCAAAAGGGCGACAGAGGCAATGCTGCTGGCTGCTTTCTTAAGACGGTGGTCATTTAATGAGGACTTCAAGAAACATTCAGAGGGTGGGGATCAAATAGAAACACACACACACACACCCCAACCTCGTGGGCATTGCCTGCAGGTGTTGGCTGCTTGTTTTAACTGTGACATAAAACGAAAATGACTGATTGTGGGTGGAATTGATGTGTTACTTGGTGTTACAGAAGCAAGGAGATCCTTAGGGGGCTGTGCCTTGTATATGAATTGAATATCATGCCATGAATATCAGTAGCTCAGAGTGAATTTTATCTTTTCCCTTTGTATAAAATTCCCTTTGTATTCCCTTTTCCCTAGTGTATAAAAACTAACTGGTTTGAGGGCTCTTCTTGTGCTCTCTGAACATGGCAGTGGCCAGCATGGACGGTGTATCCTGGTTTGGGCCAAGAAATCTCTGCCAGAAAACCACCAAGCTCAAGGAGCCCTCATGTCAACCCAGAGAGCTATAAATATTCTCCTTTAGTGGTACTAAAGTTGATAGTTTCCTCTTGCCATAACAGTTCTTCAAAAGAAACTCTTATTTAGGGAAAAGGAATGCAAAAGCTAAGCCTAACTCTCAAGATTTGGGGGAGAGATCTTTAAGGCTGTCTTGGGTGGCCTTTGGGATACTTTATTTTTCTTGAATAGATAATTGCCTTTTGGCTTGGAAAAAAAAACAACCCAGAGTTGAGTGGTGCCATTTACAGGTCACCCAATAACTTCCAGAAGAGTGATCAGCCACTATGACACAAGCCCCACCCACTCCCCGTGCCACCACTATGATTGAGCTTTGTCACTCTGTGTGACCTCAAGAAAGAGAATTGATCTGACAATACATGCTGAAAGCAAGGCTGGGATGCTCTCAAGTGAACCAGTGAGCCACTTTTATTGGAAGATCCCACATTGTCTATGTTTCCCCTTTCATATTTAAATGGAAGGGCTCCATCAGGCTAAAGTCCACTTCCTTTGGTGAAGGGATTTCTTTTTTTGGAGGGGCAGAAACTATTTTCATACATAAGGGCCCGTGAAAAACCACTTGTGGTGGGTTCTTTTTGTTGTTGTGCCGTTCTTTTCTGCTTTTCTCCATTTCTTCTTTCACACCAGGTGCATTATTCTCTGCCTTTCCCTCAAGGTGCAAACTGTCCAGCACTTCAGGAGTTGAATATCTCCCCAGCTCCTGAACCCAACTGCCTTCCAAAAAGCTAAGCAGGGTTGTAACTGGTTACTTAGTTGAATGGGAGACCAAACTAGCAGGTTGGGGGAAAATGCCCTAAAAGAAGGCAACGGCTACTTCAACGTTCCTAGAGAGAAAAATCCACGGCGTGTCCCGGTTTTAACACTAGGAATGCAACTCAACTTGATGGACACTCAGCATTTGAATTTTTGAGCATTGTCACTGAGTAGAAACTGCTATACAGCAGGGGTCCCCATCCCCCAGTCTGGACTGGCACTGGGCCTTGGCATGCTTGATCAGCATCGGGCCACACAAAAAAGTGAAGCCCTATCTACGGGATGCAGCCAGCACACAAAACCACACCCCCTCTGGTCCACGAAAAAAACTCTTTCCACGGAACTGGTCCCTGGTGCCCCAAAGGTTGAAGGCTATTGCTACAGAGAACTCAGTAGGTGGTTATAAAAAGAAGGAAATCTGACACTGAGCTATAGCAATATCCAAATAAATTACGATGGTCAAAGCACATTCTGTTGTCTCCAGCAATATCATCTAACACACTTACAGAAAAAAAACCAAGCATCTTTGCATCTTTTTCTAAATGTCAAGGGAGTGGATTCACAATGCAGCTCTTGAGACCAGAGAGAAGGGACATCTTTAGAAGAGCTTTTCCTACAGATCCTAATATACAGAAAGATTCATAATAAAACATGTTATTCCTCTTTCCTTTGGAGGTTTCAACACCTGCATAACCCATTACCACCATACAGTATAGGCATCTATCCCCAAAGCTATCTTTATGTATTGCAATGAAGTGGCTTCCCTGTAAATCTTTTATTTTCATGTTGTGAAAATCACCCCCTCCGGCACACCTCAAATATCTCATTTATGTACATATTACGTTTTTCAGTCCAACACCTCCATCTGATAAAGCAAAGAGTATTTAGTATCAAGGATTCAAGTTCACAGTGCACGCATTTCCTAAATAGGCTTATATTTTTTTAAAGCTCATCTCAAAGAAGCTGGAAGGGTTGGTAGAAATGCCTGTCTGTGGGAACAAAGAGGAAGAAAGGAGTAGAGGAATAAAGAAGATTAAGTTACTATTCGTTCGGTTAACTTCTGCTATTTTCTTGATCTCAAAGTTTATGATCAAACAATTCCAATTTGTTATGTCTTTATTAAACCGCCACGTATACCACGCAGTTACTTCCTTACCTTTTCGAAGAAAGCAGCAGGCTCAAAAATCTTGTTCTGCACTACAGTCATATACAGGAAAGATTACCATATAAATGTGGCAGGAGAAACTATAGACAAATCATAGGAAAACGAAATGCAGAGAGACTAAACTGATAATTAAAGGCGTGGAAATGTTGAATACTAAGCAAGACTCCCTTGCATTGATAAGATAACTTTTTTTGTTTTACCACATGTGTTAGTTAGTGTTCAGGCCACAAAAGATAAAATTGTATTTCTTGATGAACTGTAGATTAGCTAGCTTTATCACACTACGGGTGTCACGGGTTAGGCTGCAAGAGATAGAACTCTTCATGGA